TACCCCCCACCCGTACCCCCACAAAAACAACATAAATCCTCTTTAACAACAAGTGAAAAAATACTTGCAACCTGACATAACAATAATAACAAAACGATATAAAATATAACAACCCCCACCCCCTTGAATGTGTAAAACTGAAGTGCAATAGATCTAGACTGATGTGCCAAAGCACGTACGTTTTGAAAACAGGAAGGGCAAGTTTTCTTGATAATATCCCAGAGGCATGTTTTAAGTCCAGCGTCGGATTTCCATATTTGAGAACGTTCCTGGATAATTATTTATAACTGGACTACGTCAAAAAAATGGTATATCTTTTTGGCATATGGTTGTACATATTTTTGCATAGTCAGGTAGTTATTTTTTATTCATAAACATAAAGTACCAATACGAATTGCATTTAGAAATACAGGGTGATCCCCAAAAAGCTGTACACTTTTTTTTCTAAATATCTCGCGCAAATTTGCATTAGAATGTTATAATTGGGAACAGATATATAATCCATTCAAAAGGAATTTGTTTAACGTAAAATTCCCAAAGAATAAACGTATTTTCGAAAACAGAAAGGGCTTTTATAAAAGATACCTATAAATGCAAAAGCACTAATTTAAAAGATCTTGTATAGGAAAGTCATGAAATGATTGTGTTTTTCCCCTGTCCTTTCATTCTAAAAATCGAATTCTTCTATCCCTGTAACTTTTAAACAACATTTCTTTTCTCCTAAAGAGTTTTAAAATATTTTTTTTCACTTCTGGAATTCCGAGAACCAATGGTCTAAATGTCCTCCTCTGGACTCGACACATCTGAACGCGTCATTCGTAATGTTCAGTGGCGGTCAAACACAACGATCCACTCAACCATGAGTACTCAAAGCCACTCACACTTTACACCAAAGTTACAGCATGGAGCTGTTACTAGAGACAATAGGGAGGGGGAGGGGAAGGTTGCTCAAGTAGACAGCATTTGTGGAGTTGATATAACCTGAAAGGTGAATATGGGCTTTGCCAAGGAACCAAATGTCATAGAGGATATGTTCACGCTTTTCAAACGATCAAGGAATCATGAACAAATTGCTATCCTCTGGTAGATTCGCGACCAGGAAAATGGTACG